GGTGTGCTATTAGAAATTTTCTTTGCTTACTATAAGAAGAAAGTCTACCCGAGGAGGGTGGGTGGGAACACTTAGAGAAGTAGGTAACGCGCTTGTCTCTGAGACAGAAGGTCCCCAGTTCGATTCCTGGCGCTTCTAGGTCCCAGCAAATTACCTTGTGCAAAAATAAACCCAAATAATTCAAACTACTATAAGAGGATCATACGAATGAGGAAAAACGCGAACTGAGACAGTGGCTCAGTGGGTAAGGCGACAGACTAAGAAGCAGAAAAGAGTAAGCTAGGAGTTGAAAACCTAAGGTTCAAGTCGAGCTGAAGAAAAAAATGTCAATAATAAACATGTGACAATTTGCACATCATCTATTACAACTTTTATGTACGTTTATTATAACAAATACAAACAACTACACCATACAGATGTATGCAAAATCCGAACATTACATTTTGGCTCTACATAAAAAGTAATTTTCATAACGACTGCGCAATTTGAGATATAAATTAATCTTAAATACAACTATCTACAACTAAATGTGTGGGGGATTGTATGCATTTTGAATATTGTCGCTCAAGATCAATCATTTTGGTTCTAAAAAGTGTTCAAGAACACTGCATACAAGACGACATAATACTGACAAGAACATGAAATTCTCAGGTTTTTGCTGCGACTTAAAAGAGAAAGTTGAAGATTTGACGTGAAGTATTTTACAACTATCGTTCAAAGTTGAAATTGGTGTATTTGTCTTGTGACTGATCCAATATTTCACCGAGGGACATTTTTATCCAAATTCAAGGGTGGTAACAGCATAGAAAATTCAAAATGATTATGATCTCATGTAAGCGTTTCCACCGCACGCGGGTACACACTCCTGACCCCACAACTAACTGTATGTCCCCATGCTGATGATTACACACAACACCAAACAGCAGTCAAACATTATTCAGTTCTGTAAATTTAATGAATGCTTTCTCATAGATAAATAAATATGTTTTTCTTCTCTTTAAATCTTAAAATAGGAACAAATTTATGCGCCGTGCGAATCAAGAACAGCATGAAGACATGGTCAGTTTACAACCTTATCCCAGTCAATAGTCATTTTAAGAACAATATTACGTAAACAAAATTAAAAAGGTTATGCAAAAACAAGTTTACTTAAAATAACTCTACGGTCACTTGTGTTCAGTGATTCAGAAACACTCAGCAAAAATAACCCAACAGCACGTGCAGGACTGGCACCTAATCAGGCCTTTTGTTCTCAATCACTCCTTGATCCCGACCGAAATATAGAATTAAGAAAGTACCAAGTACAAGATCAACATTAAGTAAAACACTGACCTTCCAATTTTGTGGAAAGCTTTTACTCTAACCAATCAAAGTGTCATTTTTTAAATTTTTTTTTTTCATGTTTGATTAGAAAAAAAAATTTAGGCGATTAACTGACCAAGCTTCTTTAATTACTAGGAAATACCTATTTCCCCCAAATCAGAACTTTGCGACAACTTTAGTTTCGGATTTTTCAAAATTTCAACTTGTAAAAGATTCGATGCCAGTTCTACATGTACATTTTAATTGACACATAAGGAAACACTTTCTGCTAATCACAGTTTCTCTTTGTGAGTATTTCCGCTTTGTAGTGAAGGTATAAAGTTAATTTCCCTTCTTTAATAAAAAAACTTATTAATTGCCAAAAAAACTAACCCAACCCCTGACTTGATTTTCTGAAAACGAACATTTCTACCCCCTCCCAGCAATAAAACTATGGGTCTGTCACTGATCAGACATAGTACTAGTATATCAAAATACCGGGAACCCAAGGAAGTTTATTCTTACCATGCGTCATAACAGCATATTCATAATTTTAGAAAGTTCCGTTTTAATACGTGTGGGCAATTCTGCAATAACTCTTAAAAGTGTCATAATTTGGATTACAGCGTTTACAGTTTATTGTAAATTTACGTTTCGCTCATTTCATCCAGTTAACCCACAATAAAAGATTCCTGAATGCATTTTACGTATTTTTCTTTTCTAAATTTAACTTCATAAAAATTCAATATTTGTATTCAATTTTATATAAATAATCATGCATTTTCAAGTGCATAACAAAGCGTCTTATTACATATTTGCCCACACATAATTTTACAATCAAACATTGAACATGTCGTACTATACTAGCACTGTGCTCTGCCTGGGCTTTACTTAATGATAATTTTACAATTACTTTCATTTTCATAGATCACTTGAGCAAGGCACTTTTTAACCTCAAAGGTGTCGTTTCAGATTCGAAAACTGGTCGGTATAAACAAAAATTTAAATTACAATAAAAACATCGTGCGAGGATAGAGTGCTGTACTACAACTTTTTTACACATGTATAATAATAAACCAGCAACTTGCAAGGTTGACGCTTGGATTTAGTCCATTTTATCGGAAGTTTCATGAAAAAACCACTCGTTACAAGCTGCACTTCATTTGATACACGTTTTGATGCAGAATATTACAACCCAAAGCACACATTTCAAACCAAAGCAAATGTCAACCCTGCAAGTTGACTATACGACAAACTTCGGCACACAAGAAAATGTTGACATGGGTGCGGGCGCTAGCGAACACGAATCTGATGTCTTTTCTGGGAGTGCGTCTATTCTCATCGTAGACGGTTGTTATGAGGCACTGAAATTAAATGAAAATGAAATGGATTAAACAAAATTCATAACAATATCTTAGGATTTGACAAAGTGAAATACATAATATTAATAATAAGCTTGATTGGTTTTTGGCTTTCTTAGTTATACATTATTTTGCGTATTTTGTGGGTAGTGTGATATAAATTCAGGATTTTATTGCTACATGTGCTTATTAAAACCTCTTCAGAATGATTCTACCAATTACTTTATTCCCTTGCATCCACACATAAATAAATTCGTAATCCGAATTCTGGCACTTTAGCTCAACTTTTTAAAAATCAAATACTTTATGCAAACAATTTATTTCAGATTATAATATCAAGGACGGTATGTAATCGAAATTGCAATCAGAAAAAAATGAAGTCAAGGGAGGTCGACAGTGCCAAGCAAATATACGTTTGCTTTCCTGGTCGCGGCTAGTTCTCTATAAAATAATTTGTTTATTGTCAGTTAACTTTAATAAGCAGGATATATTTGTACAGGCCACTGTCAAAAAATAAAAAAGGCACCCATTGGGAGCTGAGAATGTTACAGTAGTTACCTGCTTTGTCGTCTTGCTTTGTTTAAGACGGAAAAACGAGTTCAGACCTTTGGACGGCTGGAATAATCTTCTCACTTCTTTATGAGCAAATACTTTCCTTCTGGAAAAAGCAATATAAAAAGTTATTTAACTTTCCAAGCTCATTTCGGCATTCATGTCAATGAATTTTATCCAAGAGCCATTACGTCTGAAGTGGGAAATGCATACTTTTGGATAAAATATCGTCAACATAAACCGATCAGTGTTGCCTTATATCATCTATACAGTACTTACAACAAACTACATCAGTTCTCAGTGCCAAAATTTCAGTCTACGTGTGGAAATTGTGGCAATGTGGCACGTGAAGCTTCTTCCTCTTCCTTCTGACCTTGGTCCTATCTGAATACCTCTCACCAAAATGCTCACCTGGTTTACATAATAATAGCACTGACTGTGGGATTGTGTTAGAGAAGACACGATGCGGCTTAACGCAATCTANCATAAAAATCAAATACTTTATGCAAACAATTTATTTCAGATTATAATATCAAGGACGGTATGTAATCGAAATTGCAATCAGAAAAAAATGAAGTCAAGGGAGGTCGACAGTGCCAAGCAAATATACGTTTGCTTTCCTGGTCGCGGCTAGTTCTCTATCAAATAATTTGTTTATTGTCAGTTAACTTTAATAAACAGGATATATTTGTACAGGTCACTGTCAAAAAATAAAAAAGGCACCCATTGGGAGCTGAGAATGTTACAGTAGTTACCTGCTTTGTCGTCTTGCTTTGTTTAAGACGGAATAACGCGTTCAGACCTTTGGACGGCTGGAATAATCTTCTCACTTCTTTATGAGCAAATGATTTCCTTCTGGAAAAAGGAACATAAAAAGTTATTTAATTTTCCAAGCTCATTTCGGCATTCATTTCAATGAAATATATCCAAGAACCATTACGTCTGAAGTGGGAAATGCATACTTTTGGATAAAATATCGTCAACATAAATCGATCAGTGTTGTCTTATATCATCTATACAGTACTTACAACAAACTACATCAGTTCTCAGTGCCAAAATTTCAGTCTACGTGTGGACATTGTTCAATGTGGCACGTAAAGCTTCTTCCTCTTCCTTCTGACCTTGGTCCTATCTGAATACCTCTCACCAAAATGCTCACCTGGTTTACATAATAATAGCACTGACTGTGGGATTGTGTTAGAGAAGACACGATGCGGCTTAACGCAATCTAAACGTTATCATCAGGTTATTGCACAAACAAACCATTTTGTTTTGTCCATCTATAGACCTTCATCCCAAATAAATGAGGTTTTTATTATTAAAGCATCCCAATTAAAACATGCTGTCACCTATTGCTCTAGCACTGTAAATATTTAACACTAGAGTTGTGGCGACTTAGGTTTGTACTAAAAATTCTACATGTATATCTAACATTTTAATTTTTATGCAGCAGTACATATGAACCCAAATATGCTTCTTAGAAAAAATAAATCACATAAGAATCAGTTTACTGAGTTACGCATCATTCGTGAAGGTATTGTTTTCTGATTTCATTGTTTGTTCTCTGTTGTATATGTGCGCACGCTTGTTTTTACGTCGCTTATTCTTCTTTGTTACGTTAAAATGATACATACGTTACCGATATATACGTTACCATGAAGCGTGTAAATATTTATTCTATTTTCATTGGTTTTCTTTCGCTTTATGGGCCAACACTTATGTCTTTTATTTGGGTTTCATTAAAATAGTGTTGGCGCACAAAAGGAAAGACAACCAATGAAAATAGAATAAAAAATATTTACACGCTTTATGGTAACGTATGTATCATTTTAACGTAACAAAGATGAATGAGCGACGTTATAACATGCGTGCGCACATATACAACGTCGCTGACTTGATATCTGTAATATTCTGCAGGGAGAAATGGGAGACATGGCCTAGTTTTTTACCTCTCAAACAGTTTGCAATATACTTTGTCTTTCAGTGGTCCCCGATTCTTTAATATTACCAATGTTATCACTTTGAACCGCATAAAACACTTTTGGAAGTAAAAGAATCATATTAGAAACTATCACTACACTTTCTTTATATCATTTTATTTTTATTCATCTTAGTATTGCCACTGACATATCTACTAGTGCCTTAATTTAGGACTCATTCCCAATGACACTATTGATGTATGTAAATCGATCCAGCTCCACAGGGACTCTTGCTGAATGCAATTGGATTGGCTCGCCTCCTTTTGTTTATAACATGCTTGTTTTCCATTTTCTACTCAAAGCTAGGGGGTGGTATGCTAATCTCTTTATCTGATTACATTCAGCAAGAGTCCCCCTGAATTGATCTACCTAAACAGATAAAGCACTGAATGCACTCTTATTTTTATTGGGACTGAGTTCTTAGACCTAAATATTCTTACACAGTCATATAAATAAAACAACAACAATAAATAATAATAATAATATTATTTAATGTTGATTTATAATTAAAAGTTGGTTGGTACATTTATAATGTTGAAATGATAATTCTCAGAAAAACAAAGGTCAAATACATTTTCAAGAAGTGCATTAAAATTGAAAGTTATGAATAAAGTTGATTATAATAATCTAAAATAATATAAGTATGATAAATATTGACAAAACTGCATTGTAGACTTTCAAATTAATTTTCAAAGACTTACAAAATTGTATTTGTTAACATCTGCACAGTACTTTTTAATTACATTTGTGCATTAAAAATTCCCCCTAGTAAATGTATATGTACTTTGTACATATTTCATAAGGAAAGAAAAGTCTGAAATTTACTGCAAAGAGATTGTAGTTTGCCACTTTTAAAATTTTCTCTCTTATTGTAAATCATGTCCACAGTGTGTTCAGTGATTTCTATATGAGACTACAGACACATATTCAACTATGATCCCCACTGCACAATGAATAAAATAGTCACCACATACTGCCTGGTTGGGGTTATGTGTGTAAATGAAATATCTTAAATATGACAGTAAGTGTAAAACTACATGTAACTCTCAAGTGGTGAAAAACTAGAAAACTTTTATTTATCAAGTATCCTTCACCAGTTTTGTATACATACCTGTTGTAAGCATAAGTTTTCCCCCCTACCCAGGTTCTGTATGATATTATTTGTCACTGAGCACATTCAGAACAGTGAACTAACAGATCCCTGGATCAAATATGGCCACCCACTAAATGCTAATACTTGTTGCTTAATCCCTGTGGGGAATCTATTCAGTGTCTAATCAGGCATTTTGATTTTAATTAACAAGCTTTTTAGAAGGTGGCCATATTTGATCCGCGGATCTGTTAGTCCACTGTTCTGAAGCAGCCAATGAGGCATGAGAGAGAAAATATAACAACAGCTACTGTATAGGAGTCTAAAAATTTCTTAGTATTTAATTTCTCTTTCTCACCTCTCTTTATCTATGCCTCTTTACAACTTCAACCCAGTTTCTCTGAAATAAAATTCTGCACTAATGAGCATAAATAAACATTCTATGATTATAAACAGCTCCAGAATTACCAGGTGGGAATTTACTAGGTACCAGTACTTATAACAGGCATTAACAATGTGATGGTTCAGTCATCATTCTGACTTGCTTTATCTAGTATTAGTTTATTACAACTACTTTAGGCAAACTAACTCAATAAATAACTTTGAACATTTAAGATAAGAAAATACCTTGTCTTTTGATTCAATTTCATTAAAAAAAATTAACATAAAATTACAAAGTAAACAAAATCAATAATAAGTACTCATCTTTTATAAAGACTACACTGAGATCACAACAGTAGTATACATACTAGTATAGAAGCTTCAGTATACGAACAGTTACTGCAAAAAGTTGTTGAACTCATAATTTTAAAGGAATAATAATAAAATGATATTCTGCATATTACTTATACAGAATTGCTGCAAACATCTTTTATACCTAATTACCCTTGTGGAAACATTAAAATGAGCACTAACATAAGACAAGACAGCAAAGCTGCCAAAATATACAGACACCAAAACATAAAACATGTTAAAACAAAAGAATTAGACTTTTTTCTGTGACAACAGTGAATATATAAAATTATCATACATAATGTATAAATATGAATATGTGGGTCAAGGTTTATGGGTTTGCAGTTTTACCATTAGTTATATAACAGCTTCTTTCAATACTTATAAAACTGTACACACGTATTTGTAAAAATAATCAAATCCTGCTAATTTTTAATTCAAGCAGCTCTTTAATAAACAAAACCACTCTGTAAATTTGATATAAAATAAAACATGGTTTGGTATCTATGGTAAGACAGTCACCAAAATACATGCAAAAATAAAATAAAATAAAATAAAATAAAATAAATAAATAAATAAATAAATAATGATTTTTTAAAATTTTTTACTCAGTCAAAGTGGGAGGGGGTGCATGCACCATGTTCAGAATGATCACCAGTGGATGTCTGGAGATGGCTACAGGAACATGGACCCTATCTCCTGATGTCAGGGAGGAAAAAGAAATGGTTGGAGCTTGGTTCACAAACTTTGGCAGCCTTGGGACAAATCATGATCAACAAAAGATTTCAGAAGGACATTATGTCAGGAACAAGTATTTTCCCCAAATAAAGGAGGAAAATAATGGATGACTTCACAAACTTATTTTTTTTTTAGACACATAAGAAACAATGTATCAACTCTCATAATTTAATGTACTGTTCTAAAAGGAATTCCTACAAGCCCCCAGCATACAGGCCTCGTAATTATCTGGTAGCCATTGATTATCAAAGTCACAAAGACAAACCAGCGGCAATTGACTTTCAATCAGCTGAAATATGCTAAATGAACAAAAAATTAACATTCCTTTCAAGTAGTGCCAGTGTAATTCTCTATGCACCCAAAAGAGCTACCTGATATATTTGGTAAATTGTTTTTTGCTTTTCACAAGTTTCTGCTTGCCAAGTCAGTATTATGTTAAAGTATTAAAGTCTTTCAAATAGTCTTTTAGTCTTTTAAGGTATACTCATCAGAACAGTAAGCAGCTAGCTGCTAGCATTACTGGTAAATTCCAGTCTTATTATACTTGGAAATTTGATATGAGGCTTTCAAGCATGGTCCTTAGGCAGCAAAGGTGCATTTAGAACCATTGGACCTTGCCAAATACATCCCCTGTTCTTGCACCACACAAGAATAAGAAAGAAAGAGAAAGAAAATCAAGACTAAAGTAAAATCAATTGGAGACATTGTCACACTAGCTGTAAATGCACCGGGCAGAGTGGTAATGTGCAGTTTTATATGATAAGGCTATGAACGATGCAACTGCATGGGTGGACACACATTATAACTACATGTGTATGCAGGGGTGTAAAAAGTAAGCATTAATCCATTACGTATTTGTTACCTTTTATTTAATTATA